TCTTCATAGCTGTTCACCTCCCAGAAGGTTTACAGGTGATTTTGTTGGATGTGCATTCAACTTTACTTATCTAGGACCATAAGGAGAATGTTTTTTAAAATAATCCTCCCAAAGTGCAGGACAAAAGCCCCGCCAAAGGTGACTTAAGTGGCCTCGCAGGTCAGCAGATTCCTTTGACATGGAGCTAGATTTTCAAAAGAGAGATTTTAAAATGTTCAGCATCCACCAATCAGCATCAGATTTTCAAAGGAACTCAGTGCCCATCTAGGCATCTAAATAAGGAGCAGGTTTTCAAAAGCTCTGGGCATCCAGCAGCTCCCATTTTGACACTTACGGCGGGTTATTCCAAAGAGGCCAGTGCTGAGTACTTTTGAAAACCTGGCTCTGGCTGTGGTTTTTGAACAGAGCCAGGTGACATTTTTCAGAAGAATCATTTATTCTCCAAAAGGTGCAGTTTCAGCAGACCCAAAACCATTTGTGAATTTGACCTGATAGTTTTGGCCAGGGAAAAGATTTACAGGGCCAGCAACTGTACGTATGTGTGCGTCCCCTTTATAACCATTTAGCTCAATGGCTAAGGCTCTTGCTTGGATGTGGGAGACCCAAGTTTGACTTCCCATCTCTGTTATTCCAGCTGAATGCCATAACCCACCAAGCTATTGGTTGTACTGGGGGTGCTTTCAGTGTCTCCTGCTGAAGCTGGTCTACTTTGTATACAAACGTAAATATTCATTGTGCCAAAGACAGGGAGGGTGGACTTTCTAGTCAGGTTATAAGGTGCTCACCTGAGAGGTAAGACATGTGGATTTAAATCCCCCCTCTGAGCCAGGCAAAGAGGAAATCTCACTCTACATCTCCTACCTCCCAGAAGGTGCCTTAATCACCAGGCTGTTGAGTCATTCTCTCTGCCCTAAGGAATATGTAAGTATTTATGCAAAGTGGAACAGCTTCAATATGGGAGAGCGAGAGCAACCCACCCCAGAACCAAGTGGTCAGAGCATTCACCTAAGGGGGGACCCACTCAGGCTCAAGTCACTACCCCAGCATAAGGACTCTAATGTGAGTCTTCAATTTCCCAGCTGAGTGCTCTGATCGTAGGCTAAAGCCACACACCAAGTTTGTGTTCCCAAAATGGACTTTTCTAATTAGCTGAAAATATCCATAATTTGGCAGAACTGAACAAGAGATTTTCCTTGATTTTTCAGCTTGCTGGCTGAACCGAAAAATCCGTTATTCACCCCACTCTATTTTTCAGGTCTTTTGAAAATATGACTCTTGGCTGTTATGCAGCCAAATGTAGATAACGGGGGAGAGCAATATGAATCCACAAATGATCATGGGGGAAGTTAGCTAGATATATATCCTGTTCATTCTGGGGGGGTTGGGTGGAACATAGTAGCAGAAATAATGCATGTTGTATTCCAAGCATCCCCAAAAGTACCTTAGTTGGTGAAGTCTGGTGAAATTTCAGAACTGTGGGCATTGACATCATTTGCAAGCTGCCCATGTAGATCTGCATAAAGCACATCACTCTGAGCACTGATTTCAAAGTCTGGGATATAAAACTCTGTAATCTTTTCTAATAGTCTTCTTGCAACTCAAGCTAAGTGACAGCACCTTTGCATGAGCCGCATTTAGTTCTTCAGTCAGACTCCCAGACTGCTTTTTTCAAGCTACCTGGTTTTATACAATCCTTCCATATCACAAGCTCTTACCAATAAACCATGTTTGTAGTGTGGGTGGTAAGAAACGGAACAGACATTCTTTACTGAGACCACTTGAAACAGACAGAGCTCTGTAGTTCTCTAGCTGCCATGCTAACTAAGCTCAGCCTGTGATGTCACCCCATCAGGTCTCCTAACTCATAAGTTGGACTAAGCATGCATGGAAGAGATTGCTGTTTATTCACTACAAAGTTTGCTTAAAGACTATGGGGGATATTATTTTCAAGTGTCCCCTAGAAAACATTATAACAGGTGAATTTACTTGTGGCTGTGTGAATATTTGAAGACAGTTGAGTTTCTATGGAATCATTCTGCCCCTGAACGCTGTGAGCTGAACTCAATGAACACTCTGGACAATATGAATGAAATGGTCCCTATTTCACCTTTTCTCTACGGAGGAATTTGTTTGGCAAGAATTGCTAGGCATTATGCTGTAGCATTTAGAATGCTCTGCAGCACTCCCATGAGAGCTGCACGCAGGACCGATGGCTCTCAGAGACCTCAGACTCTCTATTTCATTGTCATCTCAGTGCTTCTCCAGAGATTTTAACTGTCAGTACTGCAAAAAGCTAGCAGAACCACTTTCCTGTAATTATGGAAAATAGGCTCAACCAAAGAACAGCACAGTTCCCAGGGGCTTGTGATACAGAACACTTGGGACAGTAAGGTACGGTGAAAAGATAGTTAACATGCTGAGGCAGCACCAGATAATCCAGACTGGCCTGCGATCAGCCAGCCAGTCGGGTAGTTTGTGCTTGTTGTGTCAATGATGTAAGGCTAGCAGCAATGTCTTCATGCTGTGCTAGTTTGAATATGTGGACAGGCTGGCACAGCCTCTTTATTGGTCAGGGCAAAACCCTTCTGGTTTCTTCGACTTCCTCCTATTTCTAGCTCCCTCCCTCCACTCCCGTGTAATAACCTTAGAAGTCCTGGTGCGTGCCCCTCTCTCCATGGAAGAATATTTATGATCACCCAATTCCCTTCTGATTCTCCATCACACCTGCTGTGCTGCCATGGTTCATTAAACAGCCCAATGAAATCAGTGGCAGGGACTGCCTTTGGTGCACTCTACAGCAGAACATACACATTCTGCCTGAATATAATGGAGTCATTCAGCAGCAGTCAAGAGATGAAAACAAAACCAGTACACCTGGCTTTACCTTATTTCCCTACAAAGGACTCCTATGTGGCACCAGAAGCCACTACTACCAGCCCCTATCCTTGACCCACAGTATCATTGTAAAGCTATTGAGGTATGCATGGTCTTTTAAATATTCTCCTACATGTGTTTTTTATTTCATTTTTTTCTCTCCACCCCCGCCCCCCTCCTCCCCCCAGTCAAGTGGCCTGGAAATAGAACAGATTGTCCCTGGACTGTTCACAGAATCCATAGTTCAGCAGCTGTCATTCGCTTGGCTTTTTTCCCCCCTGCAGGAATGACGATAGTTTGTTCCTCTTGCCCACAGGTTGAGTTAGGAAGGGCTGAGGGAGGATCTGAAATTGCCATTGGCTGTGCCTTCACATCCAGAAGGTCTCTTTTCTCCCATCTCTCAAAATTTATTGCGATCATTTGTTATTTTCTGGGACCACAGGCCGACAAATAGCAAGCAAAGTATATATATTTTGCACAGCAGAACAGAAGTGGTTTCCAGTACAGGGCAGCAGCAGCAAAGAAGTCAGAGTGTTATTATAGTATTTATATTCACTGGGCATTGCGGGCGGAAATCAATGCTGCAATCAGCTATTCAGAAACGATCCATTTTTTCTAACTGCTAACATTTAAAAAGTGAAAAGGAGTCAAAGTAAATTTGAACGTGCGAAGAGTTTTGGAAAGTGAAAATAAAATGCTATCTACATTATGTGCACACCCACAAACACAGAACCATGGCTGTATGGTTCAGTGAACCTCTGTTCAGTTTATACCACCAATTTCCCAGGGTGAAGTCTCTGTGCAGGAGCCTGCACAAAGCCCAGGTATCTCTGTAGTCCTTAACATATGGCTTCAGTGAAACATAGGTGGTTCACAGGCCTCCTGTTGGCCCTCTCATGGGTGGATATGATTTAAAAAAAATCCTTCCCTAATTGAAGCTATTTTTGCCATTGATGTCAATGAGAGCAGGATCAGGCCCAGATACTATGCTTAGGTGATCAGTAAATTGATGCCTCACAAAACATGTGCTGTATGTACATGGGTAATATGCACATTGTATTATGCAGGCTGTGGCCTAAGAGTCCTTCTGTTTGTAAACTCTAAGCATGTGCAAAGTGATAAAAGATATTTGACAAGCTAACAGAACAGAAATCACAAAATATGGAAGATTAGTTACTAGAGGTGTTCCAGAATTGCAATAGGATGAGGATATTGATACAAATTATTCACGAATGCTTTAGGTACAGAGGGCCAAAGATTGCAACCAAGATCCCTTTAGTATTTTGTTTTCAAATACTTTGTAAATAAGCTTAGGGTCTAATACTAAACATAGGGTGACCAGATGTCCCGATTTTATGGGGACAGTCCCGATTTTTGGAGCTTTTTCTTACATAGGCACCTATTACCCCCTGTCCCGATTTTTCTGGTCACCCTAACTAAATGAGTTACATTGCCATTGAACTGATGTAACACGTTGGTGAATTACTCCCATCCCTGGCTTCATAGATTCTAAGGTTAGAAGGGACAATTGCGATGATCTAGTCTGACCTCCTGTATACTGCAGGCCATACAATTTCCCAGAATTAATTCCTCTTTGAGCTAGAGCAAATCTTCTAGGAAAAAAATTTAATATTGATCTTAAAAGTCACCAGTGATAGAGAATCCACCACAACCCTTACTAAAGTTATTCTAATGGTTAATTACCCTTGTGGTTAAGAATTTGTACCTTATGTCTAGTCTGCATTTGTCTAGCTTCAACTTCCAGCCTACGATGGGGGTGACTACCCTACACAAGGCCTGAGTAGAGAGAAAGGGCCAATTAACCCTGTGACAGGCTGCACCTAGGGGAAACGGACACCGGTAGTGGAGCAGAAGACTGCCTGGGACAGTCGTCCAATGATCAGGGACGACTGTCCAATATCATTCATGAGACCAAAGACAAACTGCCCCCACCAATCCCACCCCAACTCTTTTTTGATAGCTTCGGTTTCCTTCCCAGCTGAATCCTGCTGAAATCTGGAAGTTGAAGAATTATACAGCAGGGACATCAGCATCCATTCCCTGAACATTTTAAAAACAATGCAGTGAGGCCAGAGGAGGGGAGATACATATCCAATCATCATTACCAGTTTTGTGCTTCACTGCAAAGCTGTCCACTGCCGTGGCTCCAGCGATCACTTGAGGCATAGCAAATAATTACTTCCGCATGTCATTTCTGACTAGGTTCACAACAGAGGGCAGCATCTCAAAGCTTACTCTGCATCTCTCCACATTACGTGGGAGAGTCCCTCTAAGTCCCCAAATGTCTGACGCCTTTGGAAGCAGAGACCACAGCACAGGGTCAAGTTACAGCAGAACACCAGTGTTCTGCCTGAGTGATGTAAAATTCTAAAGCTGATGTCACTGACATGACACATGTGGCGCGGGGCATAGAGAGAGCAGGCAGATGCCTGTAACACTGGGGCACTGGGAGTCCAGCCAAATAAATCAAAGGTTAGAGCTTAATTGTTGTAAGAATGTGACCTTACCAGCTGAAGCAAAAAAGCAAAACCAAAAACCCCTTGATATGCCCAAGGGCAGGCAGTTCTCCAGTACAGCCCTTTTTGTAGGCAAATTAACAGTTCAGCAATCTGGACTTGTCCCAGTAAGGTGTCAAAGCTCATTTCTGCAAGGAATATTCTTTCTTGCTGCAAGACAGCAGCTTCCCAGAGGCAATGGCAACCCATGAACTGATCTGCAGCAATGCAGTCTGTTCATTTAAATAAATGCTGTTCCAGTACCACGAACCAGCTCAGTACCTGCCACAAGCGTTCCCAATATTGCAGACCTGGCATTTTAATTCCAACTTAGCTTGTTCATTGCCCAGCACCTTAACACAATGGAAAGGGAAGCAAAATTCACCCCAGGATAGATCGAGTGCAACACAGCAGAAAGCTCAGGGAAGCAGGAATAGGAGAAGAATGGGATGCTGTAGTTGTGTCTTTTCCAAAAGGAGCAAATTCTTTTGCTCTAATATGTCATGCTGAATCCGGGCAGTGGCAGGCTATTAATAGAAGCCAGTCCCTATAAAAGAGTGCAAATGGGAGGTGAGGCATATTACATACATTTTTGCATATTAAGGGACAAATATTCGGTCTGGGTTATACCAGGCCTCTATTTTTTGAGTGTGGAAGTTTTGGTCTCACAGTTGTTTGTGCTTGGAATTATTTGTAGCTGCCGTTTAGGTCACTCAGATGTCTCAAGGGCTTAATTGCAGGCACAAATAATTGAAGGTGCAAAATTGTTGCTTGTGATTTGTGTCACTAGAAGAAAAGTCACTGATGGAAAAAAATCTATACATAGGATTCATGATCAATTTAACAAATGTGTCCGCAAAACAACAGCTATTTACCCAAAACATACACACAAATTCACCTTCTCCCCCCACCTTCTTCTTCTTTTTTTTTTTTAAAGAAAAGGCAAGTAAATTTTAACAAGGCTTTTCCCACCTGAAAAATATGCTGGGCCCAATCCTCCTCTCACACCAGTTTTACATTGTGGTGTAATGGAGGTACACCTCATTTACCAGCAATGTAATCAGGCCCTTATTCTGCTTTGTTTTTTCCTGACCAGTCTTGGCTGGAGCTTTTGGCCCTACAATAGTAACACATTGTTTATTATTAGTGTTCAAATCTGGGGTTAATAATATTCATGGCACTGGCCAGGCAATACAACCCATAAGAGGCAAGTAATGTAGGGCTAGATTCTCTTTGAACTAAGTTCCCTTTCTAATGCCAGAGTAGCATAGAGGAACCTTAGTTTGAATGAGAATAAGGCCCTCTTGACAATTAAAAGAGACAGACTTTTTTCTTCTTTTTAAAGCAGGCTCAGAAAATGAAGCCAATTTAACTACTCTCCTTAAGGCTAAAAGGAAAGGTTCATGTGACTCTTTGGTGTTTCAATTAAAATGAGTTTTATTGCAAAATGTTTGTTCTTTTGTTGTACGTACGTATTGCCAGCTGGGTTGCTTAAGGAGTCTGAATAATACATATGCAGCATTGTACAGTAATTGTTTCCTGTCCTCAAAAATTCATAGATTATTGTTTGTGCAGCTGAGAGTGGCTTTAATACAGGCCTAGCCTATAGTTTCAAAAGGAGAGAAGGAGGGTTGTACATAGTATCATTGTTCCAAAAGCCACATACAAATGAGCAATCTCCATGTCTCCAAACACGAATAAAGATGAATGTTGCCTCCACTAGGGAGGAAATGTTTTTGTCTGAGAAACCTGCCTTTCCTTTGGTTGGATTTCAGTTATGCCAGGCCTGGGTCTGCAAATAGTAACAGGAAAAAGAAACAAAAACCCTCAAGCCCTTTTGCAGGGGCCTTGCAGGTTGCAGCCCTCCCTAGTTGTGAACTGAATGTGTGTACACATACAGTGTGCTGTATCAGAAGAGGTCTACATTAGCGAGGGCCTGAGGAGGAGCCAACATCTGAGCCAGTAAAGACTGAGGGATCTCAGAGAAGGTTAGGGCAGGGAGCCATCCTTCTTGGCCAATTTAAAATGCTCACGTAGGCATCATTGTATCGCTAAGGCTGCTTAAACCTCCCGATGAAGTGAGCGATGGCAACTGGAGATGGGAAGAGAAGAAATGGTTCAAAGAGAGAAAATGAAAGAAGAGGAAGGAAGAGGGAGGAAAGGAACATAATGAAGGAGACAGAGAGAGAAAGGGAGGTAGAAGACAGAAGAAAGGAGTAGAAAGGACAGAATGTGAAAGGTAAAACGCTGGGGAAAGCACTGTTTTATATCATACACACATGCAAATACACTTCTAGAGTCCATTGCCAGTACAGTACATTTATTCATCTGCGATAGAATGCAGACCACTTAAATTCCTCATCTAAGGGTACGTCTTCACTACCTGCATCGGCGGGTAGCAATCCATTTATCCGGGATTGATATATCGTGTCTCGTTAAGATGCGATATATCGATCCCCGAACGCGCTCACCGTCGACTCCGGAACTCCACCAGAGCGAGCGGCGGTAGCGCAGTTGACGGGGGAGCCGCGGCCGTCAATCCCGCGCCGTGTGGACCCCAGGTAATTCGATTCCAAGATACTTGGACTTCAGCTACGAGTATCTCAGATCGATCCCCCCCGCCCCCTCCAGTGTAGACCAGCCCTAAGAGTAAGCCTACTGAACACCTTTCTGCACACCTCCTAAACTTACAAAAGCTCATGTAAATTGTGCTAACGTATTACTAAGAAAACTTTTATAAGTGACTAAATCTGCCCTAACTTCAATAAACATGAGTGGCGTGTACCTTAGGCCCCTTAAGTGAATCCCTTGTGGAGAAAGAGATTTAACTGTGCTCAATAGCTATGTTTTAAGGCCTTTCCCAGTATGTTCACTTACTGTAGATAGTGGAATTGTTGTAAGTACACTGCCGTGACATGAACTGAGACACAACAAATACATTCACTTAATGCATTAATCCCAGGTTATCACTCTGTGTCACAAGTTTCATGTAGGGAAAACATTCATATTTGATTACTATTCACTTAAAAGAACATCACTCTCAGACACGATTTCAGTACATCAGGGCACAGGACAAATATAGTGTTGATTATTTCATGTTGAGTGGTTGATTCTTTGTTTGTTGGGTGTTGTTTGTGGGCCGGATTCGTCTCCCATTTACACTGGTATAACTCGGTAGCCTTTAGCAGAGTTACGGATGATTCATACTGGTATAAGTGAGAAGAGAATCAGGGCCAATTTGTTCTGAGTGAAGATCATACAAATATATGAGACTGGATTAGGTCCTTCTCCCAAAAGTTGGCATTTTTGTCCCTCGGACAATTAAATCACTCTCATTATCAGAAGGTCATGCCATTAAATCTTGGCGATACCAAAATTAGGCATAAAGTTCTTAATCTTAAAACCTACTATGGCCAGATAGCTGACGTAAACATTTAAGGGATTCCCTCGAGATAGAGGCAGAGTAAAGTTGGCATAGACATTCCTACATGCAGAAGGAGTTTAAGTACGTAAAAAGTAATAGCCCAATTCGGAATTTGGCCAAACCACCATGGTTGACTCCTCTACTCTTACAAAAACGTCAGGGTTCTTTAATGACCACAAGTGATCAGGATGTCTGTTTTATGTCTAACTAAACCACAGCATCTCCAAAGTACCATGTCCACTGCACCACACTAGGGAATTGGCTTAATATTGACTTGGAAGGAAGAGTACCACTTACTGAACCATGAATGTCAGTTCCTGCTGCTTCTACTTGTCCCTTCAATAGGCCCAGTCCCAAACCCCAGATTTGAACACTAATAATAAACAAACAATGTATTACTATTGTAGAGCCAAAAGCTCTAGCCAAGACTGTACAGTGTCTAGCACAACAGAGATCTCTTCCTCCTGAAGTCTCTTCCTGACCTCCTGAAGTCTCTTCCAACCCTAATCTTCTATGATTCTAACAGGGACGCAAACCCATAGCAAGAGACAATCCTTTCACTGAAAACAGAGCTTACAGAGGCAAGGCAGAGAGAGGGGTGGAAGGAAGTATTATCTACACAGAGGCACAAAGTGATGAAATGACTTGCCCAAGGTCATGCAGGAAGTCTGGCAGAGATCTTTGGGTTCCAGAGCCTTAAAATACAAGACAAATACATTTGTTTTGAATTTAGGAGAAAATGGACTCCAAGTCTGATTGCAGCTATAAATAGGAATATTTACAATTGTTGATGGTCCTTTCTTAATTAAGTTTCTCATCCTCGTGAATGTGCTCAGTATTCATTCTTTATAAAGGACATTCACTTTAAGAAATTTATTTGGTAGCATTGGCGTGCATGTTGTTCGATGTGTCATTACATGGGCACTCCATTGTAAAGCAGCACCGATTAAGAGGCCCTTCGGCTTAAGTGTCACTTATTTCATGCCCATGGCTAGTATTTTATTTTCAGAATAATTAGATGTCATGTTTGCTTTGTTTCTTTAAATAAGACTATACACAACGTTTGTTTTTTTCTGTTCCTTTCCCAGCGCTGCCTGTGCCTTTTTGCTCATCTTCTCTGCATGTATACAAAAGGTCAGAAAAACAAATCAATGCTGCAAAGGGCCTCCTGCCCCTTTAAACCTAACACGGAGGAGCGAAGAAAGGGAAATAGCCAATGAAATGAAAGGGAATTTTTAAATTCATTGAAAAAGGCACGCGGTGGGGGAGGCATGGATCAAACAATAGCAGTTTCTGCAGCTCATGGAGTTACACTCTGAATTTATGTACAGCATAGGCTCCTTTTCAAGAGCCAAATATCTGGGCAGCCCTGCTGAAGAACACGTGATAAAGGAGGTGTTTATAATGGGTTTGGGAG